GGCGGGCGCCTGTAGTCCCAGCTACTCGGGAGGCTGAGGCAGGAGAATGGCGTGAACCCGGGGGGCGGAGCTTGCAATGAGCCGAGATCGTGCCACTGCACTCCAGCCTGGGCGACAGAGCGAGACTCCGTCTCAAAACAAAAAAAAAAAAAAAAGAATAAATCTGTATTGTATTGTGTTTGGCCACTGAGATGTTGGGGTTGTTTGTTATAACAGCTAATGTTGGTTATCCTGACTGATACAAGCAGACAGTGCACGCAGGGGAACAGCTTGAATCCTGTGGCTGGATCACAGTGTCCAGGAGTGCTCATTGTGAGGTAATGTGTGACGTCTATACCAATACCACCAATACCACTAGCTGGTAGTGGGTATGAGGTCAGAGGAGGGGAAGGATGAACGGTGAAAGGTGGAGTGCCTGGTACATAGTAGGTGCTCAGTAAAATAGGATGAATGAAATACACGAAAATATTAGAAGAGCTTTGCAGTGGCGGCTGATGTTGCCAGAAACCCAGAGGATGGGTGGAGCTTGCTTGGGGGATAGGAGTAGAGACAGTTACCCTGGGAAGAAAGACCTGGAGGGGAGAAAGGGCAGCACTTATCCGTGGGTCAGAGATCAGTGAGCAGTCACTCCAGCCCAAGCAGGAGGGTATTTGGAGACGGAGCTGGAACTTGGAGGCCTTCAAATGCCAAGCCGAGCAATTTAGACCTTAGGCTCCAGACTACTTTACTTTGATAGCCTAAGATCTAAAATATCTTATGATTGTCAGAAGTTTGGAGTGGTCTCCAGTGTGGGGGTGCACATCAATCCACTGGGGCACAAGAAGAAAATGGTAAACTCCCATTCACATTTATCTTATTTATTTATTTATTTATTTATTTATTTAGAGATGGAGTCTCGCTCTGTTGCCCAGACTGGAGTGCAGTGGTGCAATCTCAGCTCACTGCAACCTCTGCCTCCCAGGTTCAAGCAGTTCTCCTGCCTCAGCCTCCCGAGTAGCTGGGATTACAGGCGCCCGCCACCACGCTTGGCTAATTTTGTTGTTGTTGTTATATGTTTAGTAGAGACAGGGTTTCACCAGGCTGGTCTCGAATTCCTGACCTTGTGATCTGCCCACCTCAGCCTCCCAAAGTGCTGGGATTACAGGCGTGAACCACCGTGCCTGGCCTATCTCACTTCTTTAAATGTCTGTTTTTTAGTGTCTATGAAGCTACCAAGGCTCAGAGAGGTTGAGTAACTCATGCAAGGTCACACAGCTACTAAGCGTGCCTGACTCCAAAACCCCGCTGTGCTCTTCACATATGCTGAGTCTTGTGCAGACAGATGAGGACTTGGGTGGGGGTAAAGGTAAGTCTAGGGGAGGGTAGCTGGGAGAGTCGGCAGCCCCTGGCTGTTTCTGCCACTGTGGGCAGAGGCTAAGGATCCTGCCTAGGCCTGCTTACTAGGCCTCCAGGGCCTGTTGGGAAACACGGAAGCAGGGAGCCCCAGTGAGTGCAGGCCTGCCGTCCAAAGCGCCTCGTCCCAGGCTTGACAATTCAGCCTCACTTTGTGAGCAGGATTCCTAGGCAGGGATGGGGGTACCAATGGCTAAGAGGTCAGGACAAGATGACAGAGGGATAGAGAGGAGTTGGGGGCTGTCACTCAGACTCTGGGGGCAGCTGGCAGGGGTAGGTTGGCTGCTCTGCCACCCACCCACACTCATGCCGATCCCATGGCCAAGGGAACTCATAGGCCAGCCCCACGCTGCCTTCCCATGCTCCACTGTGCTGGGTTTAGGGGTGATTTTACCTTCTGATTTATACCTCTACAAAAGGCAATTACCAACTGGGCAAGGTAGCTCACGCCTGTAATCCCACCACTTTGGGAGTCTGAGGTGGGCGAATCATTTGAGGTCAGGAGTTCGAGCCAGCCTGGCCAACATAGTGAAACCCCGTCTCTAATAGAAACACAAAACACACAAAAAAATTAGCTGGGCGTGGTGGTACATGCCTGTAATCCCAGCTACTGGGGGAGGCTGAGGCAGGAGAATCGGGAGACAGAGGTTGCAGTGAGCCGAGATTGCACCACTGCACTCCAGCCTGGGCAACAGAATGAGCCTCCATCTCAAAATACATAAATAAAATTTAAAAAAAAAAATCATTACCAATTGAAAATATAAAATTGTTGGCCAGGCGCGGTGGCTCAAGCCTGTAATCCCAGCACTTTGGGAGGCCGAGATGGGTGGATCACGAGGTCAGGAGATCAAGACCATCCTGGCTAACATGGTGAAACCCCGTCTCTACTGAAAAATACAAAAAACTAGCCGGGCGAGGTGGCGGGCGCCTGTAGTCCCAGCTACTCGGGAGGCTGAGGCAGGAGAATGGCGTGAACCCGGGAGGCGGAGCTTGCAGTGAGCTGAGATCCAGCCATTGCACTCTAGCCTGGGCGACAGAGCGAGACTCCGTCTCAAAAAAAAAAAAAAAAGAAAATATAAAATTGTTGTAATTAAAATATAACACCTAGACAGAAAAATGCATCTACCCTAACAGTATAGCATGGTGAAGTTTTACAAACTGAACACTCAAGGTTAACTAGAACCCAGTTTAAGAAACAAAACATTGGCCAGGCGTGGTGGCTCACGCCTGTAATCCCAGCACTTTGGGAGGCCGAGGTGGGCAGATCACGAGGTCAGGAGATCGAGACCATCCTGGCTAACATGATGAAACCCCGTCTCTACTAAAAATACAACAAATTAGCCGGGCGTGGTGGCGGGCGCCTGTAGTCCCAGTTACTCGGGAGGCTGAGATAGAGTGAGACTGTGTTTCAAAAAAAAAAAAAAAAAAAGCTGTACTGAGTACCAGGAGCCTGGAGGCAGCTGAGAATGAGGAGCAGGTACTGAGAATTTGGGACTGCTTGGCTGTAAGGGTTTATTGCACAGAGGTGATCTAGTGCTTCTCAAACTTCGGTGTGTAGCAGAATGATCTGGAGGCCCAGGCTTGCTGGAGAAGAGGACTCAGGCCACTGTGTTTTTACGAAGTTCTACAGGTGAATCTGATACCCACCAAAGTGCTACACCCACACAGTAGCTATCATGTGTGCCAAATGAACGCAGGAGGCCAAGGACACCTCCTCTGAGAAGCCTTCCTGGGCTTCTCTACTGGAGTGCTCTAGCCGACACCCAGCACGCAAGAGATACCCCGGTAGCCTCAGGGCTGTATTCTGCTTGTGAATGCTGTCTTGTCCCTGTAAACCCAGTGGCTTCATCTGTGCCTCTTTGACTCTTCAGTTCCTGGCACAGACTTGAGCTCTTGGCAATATTCTTCCATCAATATTTGCTGAGATGACCCTGAGTTGTCCAGGGAACCAGGTTCAGGCCTGCCAGCCCCCTCGAAGCTGGGGAGGGAAGGCTTGGCTCCTGCCTCGTGTCATCACCCCTGTCTGGTGGACTGCAGTGGGCTGAGGAACAGGGCCCGAGTAGTTTATCACTCAAGCCTCTGACTAACCTACGTGGGAGAGTGAGATGCGTCTGATTTTTTCATCCCACAGGTGCCCTCCAGCTACCCTCTGGGGAGGGTCCAGTTCCCAGTGTGGGGGAAGGGGCGTACCTGTCTCCCCAGTCTGGCTGGCATTGGTGAGGCAAGTGCACTGCTGGAGGAGGGTGCTGGTCTTGTCTGCCACACAGGGTGGCAGTGTCTGGGGCTCACGCCTGTACTCCCAGCACTTTGGGAGGCCGAGGCGGGAGGATCACCTGAGGTCAGGAGTTCAAGACCAGCCTTTGAAGCCATGGTTGGAATCCCAGCCCCACTGGCTGCCCAGACCTTGAGCAAGTTACTTAATTCAACATCTAAGTGTCAGTTTCCTCACCTGATAAGCAGGAGAAATAACATGACCTCCCTCATGAGGCCAGCAAGTGAATTAAACGAAACAGTGCAGACCTTAACAGAGAGCCTGGTGCTGACACGCTCCACCAGTATGATCTTCACTTTCTTTCTCTGGAGTTGACGTGGTCAGCTGCAAGGAAAGGGTTAGCAGTTGTTGTTTGCTTTATTTGTCATTTTTTTTTTTTTTTGAGACTGAGTCTCGCTCTGTTGCCCAGGCTGGAGTGCAATGACACGGTCTCGGCTCACTGCAACCTCCACCTCCAGGGTTCAAGTGATTCTCCTACCTCAGCCTCCCTAGTAGTTGGGATTATAGGCACCCGCCATCATGTCCGGCTAATTTTTTTTTTTTTTTTTTTTGTATTTTTGTAGAGATAGGATTTCACTATGTTGACCAGGCTGGTCTTGAACTCCTGACCTCAGGTGAGCCACCTGCCTCAGCCTCCCCAAGTGCTGGGATTACAGGCATGAGCCACTGCGCCCGGCCTGTCATGTTTGTTTGTTTAACTGCAAGGTTGCAAATCTCAATGGGGCTGTGTATATGTTGGGGGGTTAGGTGCTGTGGCCTCTGGGCCTCTGCCGGGCGCAGAGGACACGTTCTTGCTGCCTGGGACCTCAGAGGATGCCCCGGGAACCTTCCTGGATCTCTGACTCTCCTCCCATGTCTTGGTGCCTTCTCTGTTAGGATCCTTCCTTGTGGAGTATCTGTGCTTTTCCCAAACCTTGACGCTCAGGAGACATCATCACTGCAGAATAATGCAGCCACAGGCCCTGGGCTCCTTTTGCTGTTTGGCAAATGCTGCAGCCTCAGGCATTAACTGAGTATCATTGGCTCTCCTGGGCGCCCAGCTTTTGCTGGGCTTGTCTCAGGGTTTATCAGCTCCAGGCTAGGCCGTCGGATCTGGGGGAGGGGCAGACAGGTTGGAGGCGGAGGCTTCCACTCCAGGCTGTTGTTTCTCTCCTAAAGTATCCAACCTCCGAAGACCCATTTGTGTTCCACATAGGAAAGTTCTATCCCTCCAGGTAGCCTCACGCTGACCTTCTCTCCTGCCACTGATAACCCTGGCCTTCCCCAGCGAGAGTGCCTGCCCAGCCCTGTCCTGGATCACCATGGGGACTGCCGGGCGTGTTCTTGGGGACTGCCAATGAGGGGCACTGTGCTGTGCTCAGATGGCCACGGGAAGGTGGGGGGCAGTGTGGGCTGGGCAGGTCCCCGTAATTTAAGCCCCGAAGCTTGGGAAAGATTAACTCCTGAAATCAGACGGCTTTAGGGACTCTCCTGCATGTCACTCACAATCCAAGATGCTCCCCTCAGTGGGAGGGAACAGACCATGCCAGCTCCTAAGCTCCAGGGTCTCCTCTTCAAATCCTCCTTGTGAAGTCGGCTTCAGGCTGCAGGGGTGGAACCACAGCTGCTGGACCGGAGCTCTGCCCTGGGGGAGGGGCGCCTCATAGGGGAATGCCATCGGCTTCCTTTAGGGCTCTTGTGGGGGTGGAAACAGGGTCAGGAACCGCCCTCCCCCCACCTAAGTCGTGATCCTGGAACGTTCTCTTCTCATGGAAGTTCAGTGTGGTCATTACCCTCTGAGCTGTCTCTCCAACCTTCTCTCTGTCTGTTCCCACGCAAACCTCGAGGGTTGTTGCTGTTAGGCAGGAATCTAGACCCAACATGGCGGCGTTACCCGGCGTAGCAGGCCTTTTGTTAAAGACTCCCTTCACCCTTGTACACACCCGCAGACCTACATGCGTCAGAGTTCTGGCTGGGCAACCACACTCCCCCATGACCTGCAGCTCACCTGCATTCCACAAGTTCGTAAACAGCAGTTTCGGTTGACAGTTTCCAAAGACCCCTTCCTCATGACCCTTACTCAACTCCTGCCCTAGTAGTTTCAAGACCCCCCAGGCCCTGTTTGCACAACCAGCTTCCCTACCTCTCGGGCTATAAGAAGCCCCTACCCTCCTCCCTCAGCGCCACTTCCTTGGCCCACACCTTTGGACCGAGGAACCTCGCCCGCGAGTCCTAATAAAAGGCTATTCTCACTGCCATTTGCCTTGTGTCTTTGTTCCCGGTTTGGCTCCAGCCTCAGTTTACCTTTACAGTTGCCTAAGTTCAACTACGACTTCTTATTTTTTTAATCTTTAATATTTATTTGGAGGGAAAACTCAGATTTGCAGTACAAAAATATACTTTTGTAAAACGCTTTTTTTAAAATAATTATAGATTTGGCCGGGCACGGTGGCTCAAGCCTGTAATCCCAGCACTTTGGGAGGCCGAGACGGGCGGATCACGAGGTCAGGAGATCGAGACCATCCTGGCTAACACGGTGAAACCCCGTCTCTACTAAAAAATACATAAAAACTAGCTGGGCGAGGTGGCGGGCACCTGTAGTCCCAGCTACTCGGGAGGCTGAGGCAGGAGAATGGCGTAAACCCGGGAGGCGGAGCTTGCAGTGAGCTGAGATCCGGCCACTGCACCCCAGCCTGGGCAACAGAGCGAGACTCCGTCTCAAAAAAAAAAAAAAAATTATAGATTCACAGGCCTTGCAAAAATAGAACAGAGAGGTCTGGTGTAGCCTTCATCCAGTTTGGCCCAATAGTCACATTTATCTAAGTGTCGTTCAATATCAAAACCAAGGAAATGGACATTGGTATTCTGTGTGTGTGTGTGTGTGTGTGTGTTTGTGTGTGGTGTCCCAGTTCCACCTACACCATGCTCCAATAGATGCTGGGGACATACTGTGAATAAGACCCCGTTCCAGTTGCCCAGGGACTCAGAGTCAAGTGCAAAAGAGACACATACAAATGACATCAAAACAACAAAAAATCCTGGCCGGGCGCGGTGGCTCATACCTGTAATCCCAGCACTTTGGGAGGCCGAGGAGAGCGGATCACGAGGTCATGAGATCGAGACCATCTTGGCCAACGTGGTGAAACCCCATCTCTACTAAAATACAAAAAAAAAATTAGCCAGGCGTGGTGGCGCGTGCCTGTAGTCCCACCTACTCAGGAGGCTGAGGCAGGGGAATTGTTTGAACCCTGGAGGCAGAGGTTGTGGTGAGCCGAGATTGTGCCCCTGTACTCCAGCCTGGCGACAGAGCAAGACTCCATCTCAAAATAATAATAATAAATCCTGATCGCACTAGCTAACGCTTACTGGCTGCTTCCTGCATCCTTTATGTAAATTACCTCATTTCAGAGTCACACCTCCCTACGAGGGTGAAGCTATTGTCACTTGGTAGATGAGGAAACACTGATCCGGGAGGTTAAGCCACTGTGCAATGCCATGCCAGCTGGTAGGTGACTGGGGCAGGCAGAATGTGATGAGGGCATCGACCAGGGTGGAGTGAAAGCTCTGAGAGCTCAGGGTGGGAAGAGCAGGGCAGGGATATCGGACAGTGTCTGGAGATATTTTTGGCTATCAAGATGGGGGTGTGGGCCAGGCTCAGTGGCTTCCATCACCTTGGGAGGCCAAGACAGGAGGATCACTTGAGCCCAGGAGTTTGAGACCAGCCTGGGCAACACAGAGAGAGCCTGTCTCTACAAAACAAAACAAAAATTAGCTGGATGTGGTGGTGTGCACCTGTAGTCCAAGCTACTTGTGAGGCTGGAGAGGCTAAGGCAGGAGGATTGCTTGAGCCTAGGAATTCAAGGCTTCTGTGAGCCAAGATTTCATCACTATACTTCATATACTCCAGCCTGGGCGATAGAGTAAAAGTCTGTCTCAAAAAAAAAAAAAAAAGAAAAAGAAAAAGAGTGGTGTGTGTGTTTGTGTGTGTGTGCGCATGCTACTGGCATCAAGTGTGTAGAGACCAGGGATATTGCTAAATGTCCTACAGTGCACAGGACAGCCCCTGACACAAAAAGTGCCTGAGTCCCAAATGTGAATCATGCACGACTGAGAAACTCCAGGGAAAGTTTCCAGGGGAGATGCTATCAGGACAGAGTTGGCCAAACTAAGGAGCAAGAAGGTGGCTTCAGACAGAACAAAAGTATGGACAAAGGCTGTGGGAAGCAGCACAGTACCAGACTTGACCTCAAGTGATCTGCCTGCCTTGGCCACCTAAAGTGTTGGGGTTACACCTGTATTCCTACCACTTTGGGAGGCTGAGGTGGTGGATCCCATGAACCAGGAGTTTGAGACCAGCCTGGCCAACATGGTGAAACCCTGTCTCTACTAAAAATACAAAAATTAGCCAGGCGTGGTGGTGGGCAACTGTAGTCCCAGCTACTCGGGAGGCTGCGGCAGGAGAACCCGGGAGACGGAGTTTGCCATGAGCCGAGAACCCATGAGGTGGAGGTTCACCACTGCACTCAAGCCTGGGCAGCAGAGCGAGACTCCGTCTCAAAACAAAAAAATAAAATAAATGATCTTTTTCAGCAGGACCATCCATTTTCCAGCTAACTCAGCAGCATGTAGTCATCTGCCACCGCCCTCAGGAAGTGTGCGAGTGCCGGGCGTGGAGCCTGGTGCAGTGAGCCCTCTGCGGGGTGTGCTGCTGTCTTTACCTGGCTTGCAGCGACTGGTATTGGGAAACTTTTCACGTCGTTCCAGAAACAGTTAGGCAGCACCTTCAATAAAATTAGCCACATTTTCTGTCCTAGATAAAATATCGGAAGAGGCTTATATCTGCATACATTTGCAGGTATCTGCTTAAGAAACACCTTAGCGTGGCTTTTGCATTCCAGACTGACGGCTCTTCCAGGAGTCAGAGCGCTTGCTGCTGCTCCCAGCGGCTTCGGAGAATCCCACTGGGGATCCATGCTGAAGAGTCACCTCTAGGGAGAAGCTCTCAGCCCCCATCAGGGCACCGCTCCCACGTTGTGGACTGTTCCGGGGATGGTGTCCTGCACTCTCAGACCACTCCTGCAGCCCCTCCTGGCTGCTGCTCCGGGCTCAGAGTGCTCAGTGTTATGAAGGAGCAGATGTTTCTAAGAGAAACACACACAAAATCATTACATCAGATGCCGGGATCATCACCTGCAGTGCCTCCAATGACGATAGCCTCTGAGACTCGTTGCTTGGGCAGTCACTGGCAGATTGGCACTCCAGGGGTCCAGCCTCCCACCCCCAAATGCTTTGCAGAGCCTCACCAAACAGACGCGATTGTATTGACTGACTGTCACTCCGTGGTCATAGATACCTGAGAGCTGATGGTCAAAGCTGATTAGCTGGGGCTATAAGGCAGGATGGCCCTGGACATGCAGGGTTTGAGGGGGTGGGGGTGTTCTTCAGGCTCTCAAAGGTCTTGCATTGCTCAACTGTGCCTGACACGGACCCCAGTGTCATCTCTGGTTCCCTCCTCTAGGTGTGCACAATCTTCACTGCAGAGCACACCACGCATGGGCACATCAAGATGCACCATGACTACACCAACGTGGTGGGCCTGGGGGACTCCAGCACGTGGAGGCTGCCTTATCTCAACCGCTGTGTCTACACATTCCTTGCTCCTTTCCTCCTCCCCATCGCCACTCCACTGGTGGCTGTCGGTGAGTGCCATCAGAGCCCAAGTCGGCAGTGCCCTGCATGGACCTGGTTCTCCTGCTCTCTTTCCCTGCCTGGCTTCATGGAGGCTGCTTATAGAGGAAAGCCTGATAGATTCTTGCTGAGACAGCATGGCAGGGTAGAAAGAGCCTCGGACCCAGAGCTAAGTCTGGTTCTGCCACTTACTAGCTGGGGACCACGGGCAGATAATTTAACCTGTCTGAGTCTCGGGTCCTGTACCTGCTCCTCAAGTACGGTATGAAAGAAAATGAGGTCCTAGGTATAAAAATGTTTTGCAGGGTCCAGGCATGGTGGCTCACGCCTGTAATCCCAGCACTTTGAGAGGCTGAGGCAGGTGGATTGCCTGAGCTTAGGAGTTTGAGACCACCCTGGGCAACATGGTGAAACCCCATCTCCACTAAAACACAAGAAATTAGCTGGGTGTGGTGGTGGGTGCCTGTAGTCCCAGCTACTTGGGAGGCTGAGGCAGGAGAATCACTTGAACCCAGGAGACGGAGCTTGCAGTGAGCTGAGATCGCGCCACTGCACTCCAGCCTGGGTGACAGAGTGAGACTGTGTCTCCAAAAAAAAAAAAAAAATTGCTTTGCAGAAATAATACTTCCTGTTATCAGCTTTGATATCAGGAGAGTGATGTCATATGGTGGAAGGAGGCAGGGGCGATGGGGCAGCTAGACCTGGATTCAAATCCCAGGGCTTGACTTGGTCAGATTGCTTAATGTTTCTGTTTCTTTCTTTGTTTTTCTTTTCATTTTTTCTTTTCTTTTCTCTCTCTCTCGCTCTTTTTTTTTTTTTTTTTTTTTTTTTAACAGAGTCTCACTTTGTTGCCCAGGCTAGAGAGTGCAGTGGCACAATCTCAGCTCACTGCAGGTGGCACACACCCGTAGTCTCAACTACTCAGGGGGCTGAAGTGGGAGGATCACCCAAGCCTGGAGGTCAGGCTCCTCCTGAGTAGCTGGGACTACAGGTGTGTGCCACCACGCCCAGCAAATTTTGTGTATCTTTGATAGAGGTGGGGTTTCACCATGTTGCCCAGGCTGGTCTCGAACTCATAGGCTCAAGCGATCTGCTCACCTTGGCCTCCAAAAGTGCTTGGTTTATAGGCTTGAGCCACCAAGCCTGGCCTCTGTTTCTTCATCCACACAATGGGGACCCTGCTTTTCAGGGTGCCCCCGCCAACGCCTTAGCATGCTTGAGCCAGCAGAGAGCTGCTCCTGATGGATCTGAGCCTTGCCTGTCCCCTCCACGTCTTGCCCTTCCGGCAGAGCGGCTGAGGAAGGTGGAGCTCAGGACGGCCCTGCGGACGCTGGCCCTGATTTCCCTGGGCCTTTATTCTCACTACTGGCTGCTCCTGAACGTGTCAGGCTTCAAGAGCCCCAGCTCGGCCCTGGGCTGCACGTTCCTCACCAGTCCTGTTGGCCCACCCCTACCACCACGTCAACATCTTCCAGGTGAGGCCACCCCAACCTGGGCACTGGGCAGCTAAGGGGGACATTCTCCAGGGGCCCTGACTGAAGGCTGGACTCTAGGGTGAGGAGAGAGGGGCCACCTGAAGGATGAGGCATCCTCCCTCTCGCTCTCATCACACTGTGCCCTTGCCTCATCCTGGAGAGACCCTTCCTGCTGTCTTCACTAGTCAAGATCCTACTCATGATTCACAGTGAAATTGCACAGGTAGTGTCAGGTGCTTCCTCTGCCGGGCACTATGTTAGGTCAGGAGCTCAGAGGTGAGCAGGAGCTTCGGGTTGGTGCAGGATAGGACACAATTATGGAATTAAGTAATTAACAGCAGTTGTGGTATGTCGTCCCTTCCTGACCACCCCCAACTCCAAGGATCATTCAAGAGTTTTGGTTTCAGGTAAGAAGCAAGCTTCTCAGCTGGGTGCGGCGGCTCACTCCTGTAATCCCAGCACTTTGGGAGGCCGAGGTGGGTGGATCACCTGAGGTCAGGAGTTGGAGACCAGCCTGGCCAACGTCGCAAAATCCTGTCTATTAAAAACACAAAAATTAGCTGAGTATAGTGGCAAGCCCCAGTAATCCCAGCTACTTGGGAGTGAGGGGAGATCGCTTGAACCTGGGGGGCGGAGGGCGGAGGAGATGTGTCACTGTATCCGGGGGAAAAGAATCTGGTAAAAAAAAAAAAAAAAATAGGGGGGGTGGCTCAAGCTGTAATCCCAGCACTGGGAGGCGAGAGGGGACTAGGTCGGAGAGAGAATCGCAAGGTGAAACGTCTTAAAAAAATAAAAAAAAGCCGGCGAGGGCGGGGTAGTCCAGCTATGGAGGCTGAGGGAGAAGGCGAACCGGGGGCGGAGCTTGCAGTGAGCTGAGATCGGCCACTGACTCCAGCCTGGGGACAGAGCGAGACTCTGTCTCAAAAAAAAAAATAAAAATAAAAATAAAAAAATAAAATAAAATAAATAAAAATAAAAAAGAAGTGAGCTGTTCTTCAACAGTCGGCTGCCTCCCTCCATGCGCAGATGCCAAGCGGTAGGAGATAAAGGCCTCAGCGACTGCCCCAAGGCAGGCAGATGCGTAGATGCCAAGTGGTAGGAGATAAAGGCCCCAGTGCCTGCCCTGAGGCAGATGGAGGAACTGAACACGGAGTTCCTCATGGGAGGCCAGGGCTCAGCATTCAGCTCCGGCGTCATTTCCACAGGGACATCTCCCTGTTTCCTGCTCAGGGAAGGCCCCAGAGTAGAGCTTCCTGTACCTCCTTGTCTAGCACTTACCACAACTGCTGTTAACAACTTAATTACTTAATTCCACAATTGTGTCCTGTCCTGCACCCACTGAAGCTCCTGGTCACCTCCGAGTTCCTGACCTAGGACAGCACCTGGCAGAGGAAGCACTCGACACTGTTAAACTTGATCTTGAATGATGAGTAGGATCTTGACTGGTGAACAGAGCAGGAAGGGTCTCTTCAGGACGAGGCAAGGGCACGGTGTGATGAGACTGAGTGGTAGGCAGTTGAGAGCATTAGGGAACCATGGGACCTGAGATGTGCCCAGGCTAAGCCCCTCACTGTTCAGATGGGGAGGGAGGCCCAGAGATGGATGAGACTCAGTACGGAAAACAGAGAGGGTCGTCATCGCAGCTGGGCCAGGAACCCCTCTACCAGGTCCCCCCACATGGGAGGTGGGGGACACAAGAATCCTCTGGGTAGCATGAGATCCCAGGACACCTGAAGTCGGGTGGGGAGGTCCAGGCTACCCGGCGTGACCCACGTGTCTGTCACAGCACATTGGCTGCCCATGTTCTCCCGGGACAAGCCCCGCCGGATACACATGATGAGCCTGAGGGTGCTTAACCTGGCCCGGGTGCCTGTGCTGGACTGGGCGTTTGGCCACTCGATCATCAGCTGCCACGTGGAACAGCACCTCTTCCCCAGGCTCTCTGATAACATGTGCCTGAAGGTAGTCGAGGGCTGGGCTGGGGGTGCTGGAATGAAGGGACTGTTAGAGGGTGGAAAGGAAGATTCTTCAGCCCAGTGGGGTCGCTCACACCTGTAATCCTGGCACATTCAGAGGCTGAGGTGGGCAGATGGCTTGAGCCCAGGAGTTTGAGAGCAGCCTGGGCAAGATGGTGAAACCCCGTCTCTACAAAAAATTCAAAAATTAGCCAGGTGTGGGGGCACATGCTTGTGGTCTGAGCTGCTTGGAAGCTGAGGTGAGGACCACCTGAGTCTGCGGAGGCTGAGGCTGCAATGAACCATAATCGCGCCACTGCACTCCAGCCTGGGTGATGGGGTAAGACGCTGTCTTAAAAAAAAAAAAAAAAAAAAAAAAAGGTGGCAGGGGAGGGACGAACCTTCAGGGTTCACCTGAACTCCAAGTCCCCCAACTGGCCTGGTCAGAGGTCACCCAGGAAGGGCAGCCCAGCATATCCACAGCAGTATGGGTTTCAGATCAGAGACACCCAGGTTTCTTCCTAGCAGGGCCACTCTGGACAAGTGAACTGAATGCCTCTAGGCCTCAGCTTTCTCTTCTGTAAAATGGAAGTAGAAGGGCTTATGTTGACAGGTTTTGAGGATGAAATGGAGAAATATATCTGAAATGTTCGGCACACAGTAGGTGCTTGGTAAAAGGGAGCTCTGGTTTTTATCCCCCTGTGCCAAGGAGGGCTGTCACGCAGTCAGGATCCCTGGATGTTGGGGAGAAGCCACTCCTTTCTTCTGCTGGGTTGGGGACAAGAATTCTCTGACTTAAGCCCTTCTACTCCTCAGGAGAATCTTGGAACAAGGCCGATAGGAGCTGCGGGTGGGAACATGATGCCCCCCGCCACCCACCATAGGATGATGGGCCTGTCCACAGCCCCGGCTCATAGGCCCCTCTCCTGCCCATTTTCCACCAGGTGAAGCCCGTGGTGTCCCAGTTCCTCCATGAGAAGCAGCTACCGTACAACGAGGACTCGTACCTGGCTCGCTTCCGGCTGTTTCTCCATTGCTATGAGGAATTCATGGTGCAGGCCCCACCTATCACTGAGCTCGTGGGGCTGCAATGAGGCCGGGCCAGTGCAGCCACCCCGTCCCTCCCTGGCCCTCCTGCTGCTGTTGGCCCAGGCGGTGTGGCTCAGTGGCTGGTGGCGGACCTGGAGAGTGGAGGCACCAGGCAGGCAGGGGGGCAGGGGAATTCAGGCCTGGGGTCCGGGGTCCACCTGCCTTGCGTGCTTTTCTGGGTTTTGAGGGGTGTCTGGGGGAGGTGGTAATGGTGGCTGTGCATTCTGGTCAGTCGGGACCTCAGCAACTTCATCTCAGGACTAAAGAGCTGGGTCCTTCCCCCTGCTCTATCCTTGGTAGGACTAAGGGGAGGTGACAAGGTGAGTGAGGAGGGATACTGTGCAGGGGCCACCTGGGAGACAGCAGGGGGCACAGAGAGATCAGGGTCAGTTCCCTCGGCTGGGACCTCCCTGGCATTGGGACAGCCCCACATGGCCTTGGCCACTGTTTCCTTCAGGCTCTGCGCACCAAGGTGCCCTCTCCCTGGGGACCTCAGGGTGAGCTTGCTTTTGGCAGGCCTTCCTCGATCCTCAGCCAAAGGAACCTATGCAAGGTACTGGCTCAGCAGTTCCCCAGGCCGCAGTATCAGTGAGATAAAAGTGAGTGTGTTTTGTGGGGAGGGAACTCCAGGGGAAGTGAGGGGAGAAGGTTCCTCAGGGACAGAGTCGGGAAAGAGTATAAATAGCAGGCTGGGGGAGGTGGCTCACGCCTGTAATCCCAGCACTTTGGGAGGCCGAGGAGGGCGGATCATGAGGTCAGGAGTTCGAAACCAGCCTGGCCAATATGGTGAAACTTTGTCTCTACTAAAAATACAAAAATTTAGCTGGGTGTGGTGGCGGACACCTGTAGTCCCAGCTACTGTGGAGGCTGAGGCAGGAGAATCGCTTGAACCTGGGAGGTGGAGGTTGCAGTGAGTCAAGATTGCACCATTGCACTCCAGCCTGGGCGACAGAGCGAGACTGCATCTCAAAAACAAAACAAAACAAAACAAAACAAAAAGAATAAATAGCTTTGAATGTGACCTTGGCTAGTTCAAACAGTTTGCTTTGTTCTGTGATGTTTAGAAGTGGTGAACCTGGGGATCATCCACTGGGAGAGAGAAGAATTTGTGGGAGGGGGCTGGGGTTGGAGGGGGTTCTAGGAACAGGGTCTGGAGGACAGATGGCCTCAGAGAGGAATGGGAGGACGGTGGGGTGCAGATAGAAGAGCCTGAAGTCAGGGCTGGGCGGGGCTGTGGAAGGATGGTCTGCAGCCTGGGAATGAGGTGGGAATATAAGGGAACTGCCAATGCCAGGCAGAGGAAGAGGCCAAGGTGCTGGGGGACACCACTGAGATTCAGCCTACAGTGGGTAGTATTGAGAGGGCCAGGAACTGCCCCAGCTGGGGGCTGGACTGGGAGGGTGCCAGGAAGTGCCCAGGTGGAGGCTGACAGAGAGACAGAGAAGGAGGCCAGACCCATTAGTTGAAAACAGGGTCTCTCACCTCGGCACCACTGACTTTTTTTTTTTTTTTTTTTTTTTAATTTTTTTTTTTTTTTTGAGACGGAGTCTCGCTGTGTCTCCCAGGCTGGAGTGCAGTGGCGCGATCTCGGCTCACTGCAAGCTCCGCCTCCCGGGTTCACGCCATTCTCCCGCCTCAGCCTCCGAGTAGCTGGGACTACAGGCGCCCGCCACCTCGCCCGGCTAGTTTTTTGTATTTTTAGTAGAGACGGGGTTTCACCATGTTAGCCAGGATGGTCTTGATCTCCTGACCTCGTGATCCGCCCGTCTCGGCCTCCCAAAGTGCTGGGATTACAGGCTTGAGCCACCGCGCCCGGCTTTTTTTTTTTTTTAAATGGAGACGAAGTCTTGCTCTGTTGCACAGGCTGGAGTGCAGTGGCACGATCTCAGCTCACTGCAACTTCCCCCTCCCAGGTTCAAGCGATTCTCAACCTCCCAAGTAGCTGGGACTACAGGCGCCTGCCGCCATGCCCGGCTAATTTTTTGTTATTTTAGTAGAGATGGAGTTTCACCATGTTGCCCAAGCTGGTCTTGAACTCCCGAGCTCAGGCAATCCGCCCACCTCGACCTCCCAAAGTGTTAGGATTACAGGCATTAGCCACCGTGCCCGGTCACTACTGACATTTTATCTGGCCAATTCTGTGTCGTTGGGGGCTGTCCTGTGCATTATAGGATGTTTAGCAGCATCACTGGTTTCTACCTACTAGATGCTGGGAACAAGTTGTGACAATCAAAAATGTCTCCAGACATTGCCAAGTCAACCCAGTTGAGAACATGCAAGTCATTCTCTGAGCAAGTAATTGCCTTGTTTTTCAGTGAAGGCCTTGGATGGGGTGAAAGGCATGCTGGCCCTGCTGATAAGGAGACAAACTGCCGGCAAATGGGGGCCTGTGGGATGGGCAGAGGGGTGTGGCTACAGGCACAGGCATTCCCTGAGCCCTGTTCCGTTGGAGAGCCCCTCTGTGGTGTGGCCTTAGGCAGCTGCAGAGAGGCCATTGATTCCTTTAGGTGCACTCCCCACTCATCTCCACCACACCTTCCTTTACCAAAGACCGCAGCTCCTTTAGGGGCCCTTTTCCATAGCTAAAGGCTCTCACTAGTTCCTAAACAGTCTGAAACAGCTCCCTCCAGGCTTGTGGTAGTAGTGGCTTCCAGCTGTTGCTAGCCTGGGGTGCTTCTCCATTCCCTTCACCCTGCTCATACCTCTGTATACAAACTCCTTCATTAAACTGTCCTCAATCACCCCTTTTGAGTGTGCCATCTGTTTCCTGCTAGAAGGCTGACTGATAGACTGGAATTTTGGATCCAGGCAGCCCTCTTGGCACGAGGCAGGCTTGGCGGCTCCCCAGCCCACCGCTTTGCTATATGTTATTGCTGCTCCTTGGAAATGCATTAGCAGCTTAGAAATGGCCTTGAGGTCTAGGGGTGTAATTAATCAAACTGCTAATTCTCCATCTGAGAAATGCAGTGGCAGAAAAGGCCCCAGTTGCACAGTCCTGGCTCATAATGAAAACCATCCAAATACATAACCAATGACTCACTGTTATTGATCTTGACTTGACTGGGGTATGGGCAGCAGCTGCAGGCCCTGGTGCCAGATCTGGCTGTACCATGGGTATCCTGGGAACAAGTCACTCGATTGCTTTGAGGCTCCATTTTCTGTTTCGCTTAGGATGTGGGCTGGGAATTTCTGGGGCCTGAGAGGTGAGGGAGGTGACAGGAGTGAATGAAGTATATCCAGGTCTCTGCAGAGGCCTAAGGTCTAATCTATAGAGACATATGGGAGACAGTCATAATACATATGGATGACGATGATAATAGCTAATGTTTATCTAGCATTTATGGAAGTTGTCTTTAGCTACATCACCTGATTTTAATGTCTACAACAAAGTGCCGCTGTTCATATTTCCCCCGAATGTTACAGATGGTGAAAAAAAGTCCTGGAGAGATTAAATTTCTCAACGTTATATAGCTAGTAAGTGGAGGAAGAGGGATTCAAACCTAGTGTTGTCTGACTCTAGAATCCATCCTCTTCACCACCAGATATACTGCCTCTAGATGGGGAGCCCTACATATACTTTTCGATTGTATGAATTTCCATTATGTGCCAGCCAGTGTGTGAAGCCCTGGGGATGTAAGAGCTAATGAGATTGGGTCCCCATCTTCGTGGAGCTTATAGTCTAGTGCAGGGGTGGTCAAACTCTGTGAAGGACCAGATAGTAAGTATCTGGGGCTTTGCGAACCATATGATCTCTGTTACAACTACTCAATTGTGCCGTCAAAGCACAAATATAGCCATAGACAATATGTAAAGAAGCATGGATGTCTTCCAATAAAAAGTTTTATTCAAACCGAAGTCTGAATTTCATGTAATTTTTACATGTCACACGATTTTATTTTTTACCATTAAAAATGTAAAAACCAGCTGGGTGCAGTGGCTCACTCCTGTAATCCTGGCACTTTGCAAGGCCGAGGTGGGAGGATCACTTTGAGCTCAGGAGTTCGAGACCAGCCTGGGCGACATGGCAAAATCCCATTTTTCACAAAAAATTAAAAAATGAACCAGGTGTGGTGGCAGGCACCTGTGGTCCCAGCCACTCCGGAAGCCGAGGCCTGAGGCTTGCTTGAGCCAGGAAGCAGAGGTTGCAGTGAGCCGAGATGGCACCACTGCACTCCAGCCTGGGTGACAGAGCGGGACCCTGTCTCAAAAACCAAAACCAAACCCCAAAACCTTCAAAAAAACCAAAAACAGTAAAAGCCATTCTTGTTGGTCATTCAAAACATGTTGGTGGACAGTATTTGGCCTGCAATCTATATGTTTGCCTACTCCTGGTCTAGTGTGACAGGCATAAAACACAGGACCTATTAGAAAGCAGAACAGTATTTACTTACCAGCGGGCGAGAGGGGAAGTGACCAGTAAGGGCACAGAGGACTACTGGGATATTGGCCATGCTTTATTTCTTGATCTGGGTGGTGGTTATATGGTTACACCTTGTGATATATTGTCAAGTTGTACACTTATGATTTGTGCACTTTTCTGTATGTTATTCTTGAATTTAAAATCTCGTTAAAAACGACAGTGTAGTAAGTCATGATGCGGAAAGGTCGGATGCTGTGGAATGAGAAGCTTTAACTCCTTGGAACTTGGGAGGGGGCGGGTCAGAGAAAAGGCTTCTCCAAGGAAGTAATGTTTGACAAGAAGGCCCATGGGGAAAAGGAAGAGGGATTAGGTTTATTGGGTCAGCTGTGACTACGGATCCTGTTCTGATTTTAAAAAATATTTTGGTCATAGACTTGCATTAATTTTGACCTTTTAAAACGTTGCGGTATTATATTTATCTTGATTGCTGAGTGTTTTGGAGCCCCCTTAAATTCTGAACCCGAGGGGAGTACCTCAACCCTGGTCCCGACACGGCTGCACTGGGGTCGGAGGCTCTGTACTTAGTACCATAGGTACTAGTACACTGCCACGCCCCCCTTTTCTTCACCTATGTAATGGGAAAGG